AAAATTTAAATAAGTCTGGAGCTAAACAAAAGAGGGATCCAGCTCATTGTAACTTCAGCTGAATGTAAACATTTAGCAACAAGGAACTCCTTTGCATCACATCACTGCTTATAAAAGTGACAAAGCAAAAACCACCTAAAGATCCCTCTCACATAACAGGAAAGTGGTTAACAAATGATGATGCATGTCTATGCAGGTGCGGCACGCCACCGCTAAACATGACAGTGGAGAAGGGCAGCCACACACCCCAATTCCCATCGGCCATCGGAAGGAATGCTGGTAGAAATGGCACACGGAGCTGAGTGGGTTGCACAGAGCAGTGGAGAGGGCTTCCTGCTGTAAGGAATAAATAAAAAGCTCAGATTAAGCCCAGAATGCTTATGGGAAAGTGCTCAACTTTGCTTTTTCAAGATATGAGTGTACGGTAGTAGGAGCAGCAAAAAGCTCTACTCAAGCAAGGACATGGTTCTAAAGGGGGGGGTAAGGCGAACAGTGGGAAAATGGTGGAGGTTTTGACAGCGAAAGACATTTTTACATTCAGTAGTTAGAGTCTTTTTAATTTCTTCAAACATGCTGCCGAAAATTATAGGACTTGAAAGTGTGCTCCAAACACAAAGGACAATGAAAATCACTGGTATAGAAAAATCTTTAATGACATGGAAAGACAGCTCTATGTTAAATAAAAGAAGCCAATTGTAAAACAGCATGTGCAATACAATCCCATTTTTTTACTGAAGTATAATTGACATACAATATCCTATTCATTTCAGGTGCACATCATAGTGGTTTGATGTTTTTACACATTATGAAATGATCCCTATAATAAATCTAGTTAACATATGTCATTATACCAAGTTATTACAATATTATTGACTATGTTCCCTATGCTGTTATTTTATAACTAGAAGTTTATACCTTGTAATCCCCTTAATCTATTTCACCTGCCCTCCCAACCCATCCCCTCCCCACACCCCATAACCAACATTTTCTTTTCTGTACCTATTAGCCTGTTTCTGTTTTGTTTTTGTTTGCTCATTTGTTTTGTTTTTTAGATTCCACATATAAGTGAAATCATATGGTATTTGTCTTTTTCTGATTTATTTCACTTAGCATAATACCCTAAAATTGCATCTATGTTGTCACAAATGGCAAGATTTCATTCTTTTTTTATGGCTGAGGAATATTCCATTGTATATGTATGCCACCTCTTCTTTATCCATTCATCTATCGATGGACACTTAGGTTGCTTCCATCTCTTGGCTACTGTTAATAATGCCGCAATAAACATAGGGGTGCAGATAGCTTTTCAAACTAGTGTTTTCATTTTCTCTGGGTAAATTTCCAGAAGTGGAATTACTGGATTGTATGGTACTTCTATTTTTGTTTTTTTGAGGAATCTCCATACTGTTTTCCACAGTGGCTGCACCAATTTTCATTCCAACAGTGCACAAGGGTTCCCTTTTCTCCACTTCCTCACCAATACTTGTTATTTCTTGTCTTTTTTATTTTAGCCGTTCTGACAGTGTGAGGTGGTATCTCATTGTGGTTTTGATTTGCATTTCCTTGATGATGAAAAGATGTTGAGCATCTTTTCATGTGTCTGTTGGCCATCTGTCTTCTTCAGGAAAATGTCTATTAAGGTCTGCCCATTTTTTAATTGGATTATTTGTTTTTCTGGTATTGAGTTGTAGGAGTTCTTTATATATTTGGGCTATTAACTCCTTATCAGATATATCTTTTGCAAATATTTTCTCCCATTCAGTAGGTTGCCTTTTCATCTTGTTGATAGCTTCTTTTGCTGTGCAGAAGCTTTTTAGTTTGGTATAGTCTCAATAGTTTATTTTTGCTTTTGTTTCCCTTGCCTGAGGAAACATATCCATAACTACATTGCTAAGGTTGTTAAGACATCTAAGGTTGATGTCTAAGAGATTACTGCCTATGTTTTCTTTTAGGAGTTTTATAGTTTCAGGTCTCACATTTAGGTCTTTAATCCATTTTGAGATTATTTTTGTGAGTGGTGTGAGAGAGTGGTCTAATTTCATTCTTCTGTATGTCACTGCCCAGTTTTCCCAGCACCCTTTGTTGAAGAGACTGTCTTTTCCCCATTATACGTCCATGTCTCCTCCATTATAGATTAATTGACCATATATGCATGGATTTGTTTCTGGGCTCTCCATTCTGTTCCATTGAGCCTGGTATCTATTTTTGTGCCAGTACCATACTGTCTTGATGATGACAGCTTTGTATATACTTTGTATACTTTGAAAACTGGGATTGTGGATACCTACCTCTTTTAATTTTGCGTAGCCTTTAACTACTTATTGTAGTTATAGTTGCTTTGATACAATGTCATTTTCATTAGAAAAAGAATATACAGCCATAGGAGAGTAACTGGGGGTAGAGACTAAAACTGGGGTGTCATAGTGGTTATCTTTGGAAGATGGAGTAGGGGTAATTTTTATTTTTTTATTCTTGCTCACTGGTATTTTCTAAACTGCTATAATGAGCATGCACTATTTTTGTACAGAGAAAAATTTCATAAAAGTTATAGTTTTTAAAAAGTAAGAGGGCATACTCATGAATGTACATGCACGTGCATCTCAAACCAAAGTGGAGCAAGACTTTATATTTTTTTGGACAGTGCTTGCAAATGCTCTGCCGCTGCCCTGTACTCATTCAGGATTCTGTTGGTGGTAGGCAGCCTCTGGAACTGTAGAATCTTCTACCAGGCAAAAACACATGGACTCCTTGCAGGCACGTCACCTACCCATTTCTCCTGGGAGGTAGGAAGACAAAATTCAGCATCACTTTCCACAGCCAGAGGCAGAAATGAGGTAGCGTTTAGATGCTCTGTTTCTTGCACTCTGCAAATCTTCTGCAAGAACATGAGCAGGCCCAGCAGGTGCAGCTGCCATTTGATGGTGGAGACACCCTCCTCATTAAGGGCAACAAGTCAGAGCTCTCTCCTGGCCCTGGCAGCCCATGATGGGCCAGTTCATCACAAATTGTCCTTCACTGCTCACAGAGCACTGAAGTGTCTTTGGCATGAGAGATTCCAATTCCAACCAAAGGGTGGGAAGATGAACTAGCTAATCATCAGAGCCACTTCTAAAATGCCATCTAGTCAGATGCAGCAGAGCCCAGCCATACTCCCTTGGCCAAAAATGCAGTGAGAACAAAAGCCAAAGCAATGCTCTATTAGCAAACTCAGGGGGACAAACAGCAAGTAACAAGTTCAAGGTTCAGAATGGCAGGCAGTTTGATGAAGATGCCATAGTACAGTCTATCACTAGGGCAGTGATGGGGCCAAAAGTCTGAGAATTTTATAAGACAATGAATTAATGGCTGGGCTACAAAATGGAAAATTAGAGCTGATGAGGCCAGCAGACCATCCTGTTGAACTGTTAGGTAACTGATCTTTTTTAGTCAAGGGAATTATGGCTGCCAGACATCTGAGAGGATGCAATTGACACACCACTGTCACCTTTTGGAGCAGTCACTTCACGTTCAACTCTACCTTTCTATACACTTGTCCCAGAACAGAGAGAGGTAAAAAGTACACTTTTTTCCCTTTGCCAAAAATCCTGGGTTAGGTTAGGATTAGGAAATAGATCCCCCAATTATTCTGAAGAACAGATCATGAATTGGGAATGTTCACCTGTTCCTCTTTTTTTTTTTTTTTAAGATTTTATGTATTTATTTGACAGAGAGAGACACAGCGAGAGAGAGAACACAAGCAGGGGGAGTGGGAGAGGGAGAAGCAGGCTTCCCGCTGAACAGGGAGCCTGATGTGGGGCTCGATCCCAGGACCCTGGGATCATGACCTGAGCCGAAGGCAGACGCTTAACGACTGAGCCACCCAGGTGCCCCATCCTGTCCCTCTCTTGATTGGACCCATGGTAGAGTTAGTAAATAACATCACATGTTAAAGCTTGGCAGGAAACATGGTCATAGTACTTCCTTCTGCAGTGTCCTCAGCTTTAGCCACTAACCAGCTCTGCCTGTGAACTTCATCCATGGGCAGCCACAGCAGCAAATGAACAGTTACCACTTCTGAGAACTGACTAAGGGCCAGGCACTAGATGAGTCCTTGGCAGACATTATTCCCTTAATTATCACAAAAATCTTGGAGGAGGGGACAATCATTTCCTCTTTTGTGCAGCGTTAGAGAAGAGGAGGAGCTTGTCCACGGCAATGTTGCTAACAGGAGAACAGGACTCAAGCTTCTTCGAGGAGCACGGGAGAGGGGAGGAGAAGCAGCAGGGAGCACCTGGAAAGAAGCAGGGCTCCAAAGACATTCTAGCTCATTCGCCCCCAGCAAATCACCTAATCTCACTACAGGAGACTCACCTCTCTTGCCCAACTACTTCATAGGATTTTTGTGAGGCCCAAATGAGATCACGTATATGAAAAACCTTGAAAACAGTAAAGCATTTGACAAATACCATGTGTCATTAATAGAAAGACAGAAGACTAAGTCATACTCCTAGGAGCATAACACTTCAATCACTACAACGTCAAGGGAAAGACCACACCCTCTTTTGTCCCCCAACTAAGTCCTTTAAACACAGGATTTTCTTAAGCAATCTCTTAAAGATGAAGGGCTCAGGGATGCATGCTGGTACCTGAACTGGTCTTGCAGGGAGGTTCAGTGTCTTAAATTTAATTCAGACACCCTGTCTGAGCGATTTATTCTGACTGGAGAAAGTAACCATTTTGTTATTACTAGTAATTCTGTTTCAAAAAAAGGACTACTGTACTTTTACACCCTTAATCTCTGCACTACAGGAATGAGGAAAAACAAACAATACTGTCTCATGAAAGGCCACATTATATATAGTAATTCACTTTTTATTATCATCATCATTAATAGCAAAGTCCACAGTTCAGTTCCCAGGCAATATCAAAGTAGATGCTATATATATTTATATATATATTTATATATATATATATAGGACACCTGCATGTAATATGATAACACAGTAATTTTCTTGGAGCCATTATGATTTACCAGTTTATTAAAGGGCACTCACACAATTAAAACCTGCACAATTAAAACAATTCAATCTTCAAGCAATTAAAAATAATGAACTGCCAAGTCAATGTGGTAGAGCTACTGAGTAATCTGGCCTTTAAGGTAACATCAACTGGAAATCCCATTTTCTCCATTCATCTACAGATCATTAAAAAGAACCCTCCCCCACCCCGCCAAAGCCCCCAAAACTACCTGCCCTGGGAGAAAGTCAGGATTCCACACACGCAACTTGGGGACACACTCCCCCATGGGTTGATGGAGGGAGACCCCATCACTCCAACATGTGCTGGAGCACCGAGGGGTCCGCCTCCATGGCCTGGAGGCCTCTGTGCAAGCTCCGGAAGGTGGCCTGCTTCCCATAGCGCTGCCTCCAGCGGATGAAGGCCTCCACCATCTGCGACTGCACGTTGTGGGGGTGGTTGGCCTTACAGCGGTAGATATCCGTCTGGGACAGGCCCAGAGACAGCACCACAGGCTCCCACTCAGGGCCCAGCCTCTGAGCCAGCTGGTTGATCTGCTGGTCGGATGGGGAGCTGTTGAGGATGTGCGGGGGGATACCAGTCATCTGGTCATCTGGGGATAAGAAAGACATGAGGGAGAAAAGAGCAAACAAACACATTAGATGGGGGCAGAGATGAAATATGTGAATAGAACAGCATGATGCTTCATCTGGCAGAGCCAACTCTCCCTAGTCTTCTTGGGGGCTGCTCAGGAAAAAGTCATATATAGGAGCTTACAAAATGCCATTTAGCATCTGTGAAACTGTTTATTACAGAAAATGTGAAAATAAGAAAATAAAAATAACTAGAAATCCCATCAGAGAAACCCCACTGATAATGATTTGATCTTTCTTTTTGGTCTTTTATATATAAAACATATGTTTAGGATTTCATGGCACTTCCCGCTTTGTAATATGCTTTCTCCCCTTCCATCTCTTATACCAGAGAGGCCACGCAGGGGGTTCAGAGGGAATTAAGAATGCCAGCCTGGGCCCCAGTTCCCCCCAGCACGGGCCTGTGGGTGCAGGGGTGACACTCTCTCCTGCAGGAATGGCTAGTGCTGGAGGGAAATGGGCTAAATAAAACAGCTACTCTCTCCTGATAAACTTTGAACATTACCAAGCAAAGTTGCAGTTTCTAACAGAAGGAGAACTGAAGAGGCCTGCTGAGAAAAAAAGAAAACTCAGAGGCCACGAGGTAGCAGGAGGAGAGTTACCGCCCTGGCAGAGCCCAGAGGAGGAAGTCAAAAGCATGTGTTGTGGAAGGGCAATGAGAGAACCTAACCTTGCACTTCCTAGATCCCAGTCTTCCCGAGGCTGGTCTGCTGCAGGGACTCTGACACCGAGTGTTACCACTGGAACTACCAACGGAAGTACCATCCGTTACAATGCAGAAGGCCTTCTAGAGGAAGGAGGCTAAAGCTAAGCCCTGAACACAAGAAAGAGCCCCATGAAGGGAAAGGTAAGGAAATGTGCCTTGGGCAGAGGGAACTGCCTGTGCAAAGGCCTGGAGGCAGGAGACCATGGGAAATTCAAGAAAAGAAAGAAGTTCAACGTAGGGAAGTGCAGAGACTGAGAAGCACTCTAAACACCCCAAATTCTGGTGCTGCTTATTGGTTAGGCCCGAACTAGAAGTGAGGTTTTCATATTCCTCATTCAGCCATGTGTACAACAAACCACACTACACTTGTACTATACCTTCTGTCACCAGCATCATGGGAATCCGAGTCAATCCCACTTCACACTCACCAGCTCATTGTTTAGATTTATGAATTCAATAAGAAGGCAAAACACATCCTGTTAGAATAGCTAATGTTTTCCTCTGCACATGCCTTTTGCCCCAAGGCAGTTGCCAATATCTTAGGCACGAGTTGCAAAAATACTGTCAAGGGCTCTTTCTGGTGTTTGTCAAGACAAGACTATTAATTTTTTTTAAATGATTAAGACGCAACTAGAATAATGACAATACTACTGACCAATATTTTATATTAACAGTAATGATTTGGGGCGCCTGGGTGGCTCAGTTGGTTAAGCGACTGCCTTCGGCTCAGGTCATGATCCTGGAGTCCCGGGATCGAGTCCCACATCGGGCTCCCTGCTCATCAGGGAGTCTGCTTCTCCCTCAGACCCTCCCCCCTCTCATGCTCTCTCTCCCTATCTCATTCTCTCTCTCAAATAAATAAATAAAATCTTTAAAAAAAAAAACCAGTAATGATTTTATGGCTTTTATAAAACTATAGGCACTTTTACAAAAATGTGGGCTCATTAAAAAAATACAAGCAACATAAAAAAGTATAAAGGAGAAAACAAGTCATCCAATAACCCACCACTGTACTTAGAGTTGTTGAACATCATTCTGGACATCTTTTCAGGCACATATCCTGTATTAATAGCTTTTTTTCTCAGAAAGGTTATTTAATTTTGCTTGAATGTAACAGAAAAAAAAGAAACAGAAGTGAAAACTAAATGGCTTTTTGACCTACAGTTAAATATTTAAACAACAGCAACACATATACACACACAAAAGATTTAATGCTGCTTTTGAAAAAAGTATATGAAAATTTAAGAGGTAAACTATATATTTTCACATTAATGCTCTATAATTAACACTTGATAGTTCTTCCTTTCCCCATACCTCATCATTTTTCTTTTTTTTTTTTTTTAGAAAGAGAGAGAGAGGGCACCTGGGTGGCTCAGTTGGTTAAGCGACTGCCTTCGGCTCAGGTCATGATCCTGGAGTCCCAGGATCGAGTCCCACATCGGGCTCCCTGCTCAGCAGGGAGTCTGCTTCTCTCTCTGACCCTCTTCCCTCTTGTGCTCTCTATCTCTCATTCTCTCTCTCTCAAATAAATAAATAAAATCTTTAAAAAAAAAAAGAAAGAGAGAGAGAATGCATGTGCACAAGCGGGGGGCAAAGGACAGAGAAAGAGAGAGAGAATCTTAAGCAGGCTCCATGCCTAGCGCAGAACCCAACACGGGGCTCAATCTCACAGCCCTGAGATCATGACCTCAGCTGAAATCAAGAGTTGGCTGCTTAACTGACTGAGCCCCCTCAGGTGCCCCATTGCTTATAACATTTTTGTTGTGTTGGGTGCATAATATTTTTATGGTTCTGGGACAAAAATCTTCCCCCTAAGTTGTTTAGTCTTAAAACTACATTATAATATAGGTTTGAATGTTCATCAATTCCTTTTTGTTGTTACTTTTTTTTTAACCATGGCTTTTCAACTCCTGAATCTGTTATTTTTTTTGTTCTTATATAAATTCTAGTTAGTTAACATACAGGGTAATATTAGTTTCAAGAGTAGAATTTAGTGATTGATCACTTACATATAACACCCAGTGCTCATCATAACAAGTGCCTTCCTTAATACCCATCACCCATTGATTTGAGTCATTTGGGTCAATTTCATCATAAGGTAATTTTTATCAAGAAATGCTCATGGTCACTACATTCCTCTAGTTCCTTCAGATCAAGACTGTCTGCTTACTGCTTTCATTGTTGAATAATAACATTTGTGAAAACAATTTCATATTATTTCAATATTATGCTTTAAATTATAAATAAAATTTTACATTATTTAAGTAATTCTATTCCTCTCACAAGTTTGTAGATCATGCTCCTATTTTATGGAAGGGAATGTTGGTACGGAGAATTCTAACACCAATTTCGCCATCCCCCATTTTGTATAACTTGCTTTTTCAGCCTGGGGCTTACAGTCCTGAAGCTTTAGATCAGGGTATATCTTGGTCATTCTCTATTTGCTTTTTAAGATATGTCACATGATCTTCTGACCAAAGATTTAGCTCTTTCTCCCTTCCAGAAAAATTTTCCTGTGTCATATCTCTGCATTCTTTTTCTGCCCCAGATGCTAGATGGCTTTCCCCATCCACCATAGCTGTCATTTTCTGTCTTATTACTTTAACTCCTTTCCTGTGATCATCTCATGCTTTTCCCCTATGCCATTCATTTGATGTTTGGTGATGTTTATGCTGTTTTATTTTGTTTTGTTCTTTTCTGGTTCAAACCTTGTACTGTGTTTTTTCCTCAATTTCTTTTCTTGGCTCCTCAATCTATCTTTTTTTTAAAGATTTATTCATTTATTTTTAGAGAGAGAGAGAGAGAGAGAACATCAGCAGGAGGGGCAGAGGGAGAGGGAGAGAATCCCAAGCAGACTCCTCTCTGAGAGCAGAGCCCAACACAGGGCTCAATCTCATAACCCTGAGATCTCGACCTGAGCTAAAACCAAGAGTCAGACACTTAACTAACTGGACCATCCAGGTACCCCTCTTCAGTGTGTCTTTTAAAAATCCCATTCCACTTCATATTCATTAGGATGGCTATTGTCAAAAAAAACCCCCAAATAACAAGTGTTGGTGAGGATGTAAAATGGCACAGCTGCTATGGAAAAGAGTATGGTGGCTCCTTAACCAATGAAGCATGGAATTATCATACAATCTAGCAGTTCTAATTCTGGGTAATATACCCAAAAGGCCTGAAAGCAGGTGACTCAAAGGGATATTTATACACCCATCTTCATAGCAGCATTGTTCCCAATAGCAAAAAGTGGAAGTGACCCAAGTGTCTATCAAGGAATGGAAGGAGAAACAAAATGTGGTATATTATAGATTAGAATATTATTCAGTCTTAAAAGGGAAAACATTCTGACTCAAACTACAACATGGGTGAGACTTGAGAACATTATGCTAAGTGAAATAAGCCAGTGACCAAAGGACAAGTCCTCTATGATCCCATTCCTATGAGGCACCTGCAGTAGTCAAATTCATTAAGATGGAAAGAATGGTGGTTACCAGGGGAGAGGGTGGGGGGGAATGGGGAATTGTTTAATGGGTAGTCAGTTTTGCAAAACGAAAAGAGTTCTGGAGGTTGGCTGCACAATGTGAATGCACTTAACACTACTGAACTGTACACCTAAAAATGGAAAAGACAGCAAGTTTCATGTTATAGATATTTTATCACAATTAAAAATAAAAATTTTTTAAAAAATCTCATTCTTGTTTTATCATAACGATATTGAGTTTTTATTTCCACTGAACTGATCCTGAGCTCTCCGATAGCACGAAATACTTGTGAGGTTGAGTTTTCTTGCTTTGGGTTTCCACTCAGGCCCAACTGGCTGCATGTTTACTTTTTGCAATCCATGTTCCTGTCTTTATTCTGCTGTAGCATTTTCACGTAGTTGTCATGACACTTATCTTCATCTTGCTCACATTTAACATGAACACTCTATCCAGAGCTCTTTTATAGTAAGCCAAGGTATCTTTGACACTCTCTCCCTCTGAGCTACAATTTGTGGTTGGCTGATGCTTTCTACGTGGTGTTCCGCCATGGAGGAGAGGTAGGAGGACTAGGCCTGCCCTGGCTGGGGGTCCAGTGTGCTGTTCTCTCTTTTGGAAGCCAATGAAATGTCTTATACCACAGCCTGCTCTGCCTAGCCAGGGCGCACGCACTCCTACGGTCTCTTTCCTGTAGCTCAATGCAGAGATGGCCTGCCCTGGGTTGCCCTCCTGCCTCTGCTGATGATGGCTCCTGACATTTACCAAGGCCGTCTAC